CCACAACAGATAGCCCTTTTTATTAACTGGCCTCTCAATTAAGAGTTTTCATCAGCTTCAAAATCAATCAAGTGGGTTTTGGGGGGAGTATTAGGGAATGATTAATAATAAAATACCTAATATCTGTTTTAAAAATCCTATTCTGCTATAATTTCAAACTTAGTCTTCTACTAACTGCAACAAGGAGAAATGCTATCGGTATTTTTGATCCTCAAGCAACAAGAGTATCAATTATCAGAATGAGGTAGAATAAATATGAATACTGCTTTTATTGTTTTTCCCAATAAGTTTTATGAAAACATTCCATTTCTCAAAAAAATGTTAAATGATCCATTGCATTAGAAACTGTAAGCTAATCCATTTGCTGTTAAGCAAGTAACACAAAAGAAGTGTGTTAAAGGTGTTCTTTGATACATGTGGGGTATGTCATCGAAAAAATTCAAACACATCATTTATATTAAAGATTATACACAGCTGCATGGTAGTTCTGGAAACTCCGAACACTGATTAAGAGAAACAGTAGAATAAAGGGAACATTAATAGACTCTAGCCAGATCATCTTCCTAATCATCAAATAAGACAAGAACATTTCTGTTTACATTATTTGTAAAGAGGACACCCACAAGGAGTGAAGAAAACAAAGACATCTCATATTTGCAAACCTACTTTTGTGTTTCTGAAATAGTAACTTCAGTGCCTTCTCTTAATCAACTATGATGACGATACATTAACATATTTTTATTATAAGGCTGTTGGCCTTTGATGAGGTCCTATAAAGGGCAACTACAAATAAGGAGGTGTCATCTGCAGGAAATGCTCCATCTCAGACTCTATCTCATACCTTATGCATTTCCTCAATATTTATACACTAAATCTTATTGATTTCATAAATAGCTTTAATGAAATGGTAAATATAACTGTCACCAAATTTCCAATGTTTTAGACTTATTATGTACCTAAATGTATATCAATTTGTCCACTTAATAGCTTTAGCAGGTTACTGAACCAACTTTCTCAGCCTCTCTCTCTAAAGCTCAGTTTCCTTATTCAGAAATGAGATCAAACAACTAGTACACACTTACAAGAATAGTCATAAGATTCAACTGACATAATACATGTAGTTTCATGCCTGGACAATAAACATATAGTAAACATAAACAATGCTGATTCTGAACAGAAAATGCTCATTGGAAGGCAACTTGGTAAACTAAACATAGCATGCAAGCAAGGGATAAGAAAACTTCTCTCAAAAAATAGATACAATCCTTTCAAAGTCTCCCTTTTATCTTGGTTGTTAACTTTTAATCAAACCATGTTTCTCACAAAAGCTGTTCCTGATATGTTTATACTATTATTTTAAGTATGTGTTTATTTATAAATGATATTCACACATATATCAGTGTTTCTGTTTTGCTGTTATCAGTGATTAAGACAGTGTGACAAAGGAGTAAAATGATAAGAAATGTTGACAACTGAACAATGATCAGAGTTTATCTGATAAAGGATAGAAAATGCTACAAATGTTTATAACATATATTCACTATAAATATATGTACTCGATGAATATATTCACTTACATTTGTTTGCCATATAAGTTTTTCAACCAACATAAAACTATTTACCATGTGTAACACACATTTTTCAATGATTAAATCTAGCTCATTAATTTATACTATTTCAAATAGTTGTATGCTGAGAACACCTTTATTAAACCTTAACATTTTCAATACAACGTGTTATTAATCATAATTACTACTTTATACAAAAGATCTCTATAACTTATCCTCCATACCTAACCAAAATCTTGTAATCCTCTGGCAATCATCTTACTATTCTTTCCCCAACTATATGAATCCCTGTGTTATAGCTAGTTTTCCTTATCAACTTGTCACAATGTAGAGTCTCCTGGAAAGAGGAAACCTAAATTGAAGAATTGACTCAGTGAGACTTACAGCCACATCTGTGAGAAATTGTCTAGACTGTTAATTGATATGGGAGGGCCCAGCCCATTGTGGACTTTGACATCCCAGAACAGGTAGTCCTGGGTTATATAAGAAAATTGACTGAGCATGAGTCTGGAGTAAGCCAATGAACAATATTCCTTCATGGTTCTAGCCTCCAGCTTCCTGCCCTGATTTTCCTCAATGATGGACTTAGAAGTATAAACTGAATCATACCTTTTCCTCCCATGTTGCTTTGGCATGGTGTTTGTCACAGCAACAAAAAAGCAAATTAGAACTCCACTATAATCACCATTACACTCTCTAACAGTGACATCAACCTCTTTAGATTCTGGACAACAGTGTGATAATCAGTATTTGCTTTTCAGTGCCTGGTTTCTCTCTCTTTTGATTAAGACAAACTAAGCCTACAATGTGGTAACTCATCTCATAACTGTCTCAACGTCCATGTTCAAAAAGACAAACGACATACCTATAGGCAAGGATATGGAAACAACAGGACACACTGTGTTGCTGATGGGAGTCTAGCCAAGTCATTGTTGGCATTTAATCTAGCAATTTCACACTTTGATTACTTTTTATTTTATGTGCATTGGTGTTTTGCCTGCACGTGTGTCTGTCTGTGGGTGCCAGATTCCCTGGAACTGGAATTACAGTTTTTGAGCTGCCATGCTGGTGCTGGGAATTGAACCCAGGTCTTCTGGAAGAGGATCCAGTGCTCTTAACCACTACGCCATCTCTCCAGCCTAATGGGAATCTAAATTAGCATTGTCATTATAGAAGATAATATAGTCATCATCAAAATAGTAAATAGCATAATCAAGTAATCACACCACGTGATATAAACACATTGCTGTCAATATACACGTATATAATACTTTTATGTAGGTGACAATGACATACATGGTGTACAACAAATTAAATAACAACATAATATGATATTACATATAAAATATATTTGTTTAATATCCTCCTCCAAACCCCTATGGAATGAAACAATTCCATTAAGGAAAATATAGTACTAACTTATACATTTCCTTAGATAACATTAATGAATCCAGCAAGCAAATTGTTCTATAAAACATCACACATTTAAAGATATAATGTAGTAAACATTAGAATTAACATAAAATTATAAGACATGTTTATGAAAAGTTATAAAATAGTTTATATAGTGCCTACAAGTTATAAATTAATGGGAATCACTATTGCATAGGGTTTCTAAGCCATAAAATGCATGTGTGCAACTTGGAGGAAAGTAGTAGAAATAAGACTGTTTTTCTAAGATGGATTGAGATAGGATGTCTCTATGTATTACATGCTAGCTTCTTAACCATGATCCTCCTCCCTCAGCCTCCATAGCATTGATATTACAGGCATGCACAATGACACCAGGCAGTACAGTAGCCTGAATAAAATGGGAGGCGACAAGATATAAGTAGGTAAAAATAAATGGAAACTACATATACATATACACAGATATAAGAATGGGACATAAAAATCTCATCCACGGTAAGAAGCAAAGCACTCCAATTATTCCAGAGTCTAAAAGGTACATGTGGTAGTAGAGGCCCATGAATATTCCCTTCTCGTCCTTCTATTTTAATCCATAAATTAAGCAGCAAAGTCATTTGCAGAGAATTAAGGGAAGGGATCTAACATTTCAGCTGCAAAGATGTGAACTAGTCACCTAAGGGCACAGGTGTAACAACAGTGGGGTCATTTTAAACGTCTAAAGACAAAGTCCCATGTGGTGCTTTCGAAAAGGAATCTCTCAGAATTATTAGGGGTATACTGGAGAAGAACAGGCAAATCCTGGAAAATGGGCAGAAGAGCAGTTATGAAGCAATCTTAGTAACTACAAGAAATAACTTTAAGAAGGGTTATCTAAGCAAGGAGGAAATGCAGTCAGTAGATGAGAAAGGACAGATCCAACAGCTATTACAGAAGCGGAACCAATAGGATTTGACCAGCAACTAGCAGTTAAATGATAAAAAAAAATGGATGGCGTAGAAAATAACCCCATACTGCAGAGCTTTCCGTAACCTGATTATGGCAAGGATGCTGAACACAGAAGGCACTGTCAATGCTGCAAAAACTGATCAGCAACTTAATGCTAGAAACATAAGTTTTGAGTGAAAGAGGGAAGACTGAAAAAAACGTAAAGTGTTATTAACAAAATAATCTCAAAGAATGTTTCTGGGTTTGTTGTTCTTGTCATCGTTTCTGGTAATTTATACAGGACATTGAAATAGGAAACAGGAAAAACTGAGTGACTAAGAAATATTAATAATACAAGATAGACTAGGATTTGTTTGACAAAGGAAGGGATGCTACAAATGTTAGTGTATTCTTTATAGAAAATGAAAGTTGACATGGGAGATGAGAATGTTAAATTAACAACTCATGTTTGGTATCTCTAAAAGAGATCTGATCAAGCTAACCAACGTGAGATGACCCAATACTTCATTTATCTCTGTTCCAGGCATACATTGTTGAATAATCCAAGTATTACATTTATTATTTAAGAAATAATTTAGGACACACATACATAGGGAAAAACATTAAGAGACACCCTACATACTGTAAGTTGTATGACTGTTGCTAATACAAGAAAATAGAATAAATTAATTCCTTGGATCCAATTAGCATTTTGTTGTTTATTTTACATTCTGCTTTCCCAACTGTATTTCATATAATCAACAGACCTTGTAGACTTGGACACACTTTACTTTGGACCAGCAAACACACAAATTATATAACTGAAAAATTGATTTGGTGTGCCACAAATTATAAAATACTAGAAGACAAAGAGGAATAAATCTGTGCCGGATTTTAGGCACTCTTACTAGAACAGACAGGCATTCTAGCAAATAAATAAACAAATTAAGGTACTCTGGGAAATACTTTTGTTTAGTCAACAACGGTTGGTTCTGTCTTTTATATGACATAAACAGTCAACTACAAGCATCCCTATTTAAAATGCTAGTCTAGACACACATAGTTTAAAATGACAATGAAATTAGAGATCGAACTCACCATCATTTTCTCAAAGAGGTCCATAACTTCCTTTTCAGACAAATTCAGAGATCGTTCATCATATAATGGCTGAGCCACTGGAAGCTCACTTATCGTCGCTTGAGAATCAATAGGATGTTGAATAAGAGGTTTTTCTTTTTTGATGGTAGACTTTCTGAAACTTGTAATTCGATCACGCTACAAACAGAAAAAATAAAAGGCCCTGAGAAAAAGATTAGGAGCCAGGCACACTAATAATGAAGCACCAAAATGGCACTTAATATATCTATTATTATTATCTCTTGACAAAACATTATTGTAAGCAGCAAGCTCCAGCTAGAGATTGGACTGTTTTTGCAACTCTGAAGTCATTCCTAAGCTTCTGAAGGCTGGGATTGAAAAAAAAAGCCTCAAAAGTAAAACTTAGTCACTTGTCATTTCTGTTTTGCAAAGAAAGAGTGAAGAGACACTTTGGATCAAAATCTTGTGGTGGCTGTTTCTGGATAATGGGTCTTTGGTGCCAACATTGTGCTATGGAAAAAGAGTAAGAAAATAGCTACAGATAGCAAACTCAAAGGGAAATTTAGGGTAATGTTTTTCTTCTGCACACTGAAAAACCTGTAACAAGTATATATGAATAACTGTCAGTGTAGCAGTTGACTAAACTGAATAGCATGGAGTCTGAAAAGAGACACAGTGACTTCAAACTCAAACTGAAAAAGCAGTATCTCAAAATAAGTCATCAGGAAATCACTTTCTCTCTGGTTCTTCCATACATGACTGGATCATTGTGAGAGCCAAATACAGTTGGTGTGTGTTGATGCTATTAGTTACTGTTATTACTATATTCCTCAACATTTTCCTTCCCAAATATTTGGCACCAATAGGAAGGAAAAGAAAACGAAAGCACTCGAAGTTGCATTTGTTGGAAAAGTAAATAGAAATACCTTCCTCCTCCAAATAATATTCTGGTGTATGTGTATTTCCTTTAAACCACTGATATAATATATAATCTCTAACAATTAGCTTGCTCTTTCAAGTCAAGGACTTTGGCTGCATGCCAACAGGCCATTTGATTTGAAAACTACCAAATATCTGACATCAAATATTAGTAATATTCATAAAACTGAAGGCAACTCAGTTTTATTCTGGTGTCTGTTAGGAAGCACATGCAATATCATCAAGTCACATTAAGCAAGCAGACATGTTAGCTATGAGGACAGTGAATGTATACTGTCATGTTACCACAGTCCGTTTAAATAACTTTTAAGAACACAAAAACATTACAGACATCACTACAGTTTATGTAAAATTTTGTTGACCCCCTAAGAGAACATATTCTTCATTTTATTGATAGAAACAATGGTTTTTTAGAACCATAAGGTGTACTTTAAAGAAAGAAGTTTTAAGCAGCTTAGTTAGGATTACAAAAAACTATTTGAGTATATGGTTCCTTACAGAGAGATTATAGAAACCACAAGAGTTTAGAGCTGGGAAGAAAAAATGAAATAGCATCTAAACCAACTTCATCAATTCATAGAACAGGAGACTCAAACAGAAGAGCCCCTGGTTCTGATCTCAGCTTTCAAATTACAATTATTTATTTAAAATTATTTGAACTGTATTATTAGACTTTATTGTAACTCTTTGAGGGCAGTTAAGTTGGTTTAGATAGGTAGTGTCTTCACACAACTCAAGAAAAACAATTTTAGTAATCCCAAATAAACTGAGTCAACTTTTACTTAAAGAGATGGTGGACATGAAAGCATTTAAATATGCAATTTGCCATTAAATTAACAGATCTCTTCTCCACTCACTTCATATCGCTGAAGAATACTTATACAATTCAAGCTTCTGTACTGAGTATCAGCGTTACTAACATATAGATTTGCTATTTCTATGCCCTTCACTTTAATGCAAAAACTGCCTTTTTCTTTCAGTTGTATTTTGGTAAGAAGATGAAGTCAAGTTACACACATTCATCTCCTTAGAGCAGTAACATTATTTTATTTTTTTGTCGATAAGTAACTTCAATCAGACAAAAAAACTGGAAATGTTTAAAATACAATTCAAGAAAGTTTAGGTATAAAGAGTACATTTAAATATTAGCTTTTAACTTTTAATAAGAATTACTATTGCAATCTGAACTTGAAAATATATAAATTTTTTAAATTCAATAAGCACATATCTAAGATAATAAACATAATTTCTTTTTTAGTTGTAAATAATTTCCTCCAATATTGGTATTTAATATATCCACAATTTATTTCGCTATCAAAAGAGAAAATATCCATGTTTTCCAGGGTCCACATTTATGCACCAAACTTTAAGATATTGTTTTGGTATATGCTACCATGATAAATAAATAATTTAGCTGGGATCTGACCCAACTCATTATGTAAGTTTGGGGCAGTTGTTTCTTTTTATTGAGGAAGGGTGAGGCACTACCTAGCCCTAGCTGACCCAGAAATCACTATGTAAACCAGGCTGACCTCCAACTTGCAATAATCTTCCTTCAGCCTTTGTAGTGCTAAAATTACAAATATGCACCATTGTACCTAACTACAACTGTTTATATTAATATGTGAAAAAGGAGAAATTACTCCATTGACAATTGTCCTATTATGTTCTACTTTCTAAACATCCAATCACTTTATATGTTGCATATATCAATGCTTTAATGTCCACTTTTAAATGAAAATGTAACATGCATAAGCAATGCAATAACATGCTTGTCACACCACCTTACCACATCATCTGCCAAAGTTTTTATTTGTATGTTCTATTGAAACCAAAAAGAAAGAAACAAAAGAAATACCAGTCAGATAAGAGAAATTCACAGATCAAACAAGACAATAACTGAAGAAATTAAATGATTCTCGTCTTTTACCAAAAGTAAATTGTCCAAAAAAAAATACAAAGTTCAACATTCAAATAATACAACCATTACAAAATGAAAAGAAATGTAGGAATTATAAATGACGGTTTGGTTGGGGGAAGAGGAATATATTTGTTTTTAAATATGAATGTTAAGATCCCCCTTTCATGTCTGGTTCAGAGAGTATTACAACAGTGTTCAATATGGCAGATGAGTGACAGTCTTTGAAAAGGATGGCAATAAATATTTTCTTAAAGACGATTAAATTTAAAAAAATGAAAAACATCATATATAGCCACTATTACTTCAAGTAAAATATTAAAATATAACAAAGCTAACAGTTTAATAAAATTCAGCATCCAAAAGGTATTTCAAACTCTTACAATAGCATACAGTCAGTATGAATTCTAGACTTCACTACATAAGTACAGCCACACATCAATTCAAGTTGATGATAATATGTTTTGAGAAATGCACAGTAAGTGACTTCATCGATAAGTAAACATCACAGAGCATACTCAAACAAACCAGGATGTCATTAGCTGATATACTATTACAGGATCACCATCATATGCACAGTTCCATCTCTAGCTCAGACTCCTCTTGTAGCAAGCACATGACAGAACACTGAAATGTCATTTAAGATACATATTTAGGAAAGAAACATTCCACAATGGTTAGAAATTGAATTTAGTCCTCCTGACTTGTTTCATAATCTCGTTTCTTGCAGAAGAAGCTGAATAAAGTATATTTTACATGGTCATGGATGTTGGCATGTATTTTTACTAAGTAAAATACAGTGCTTTCACTGCAGAGAATTCCATTGTAAGTTTTCAATAAGTCAAAACTGCTTGGTCTCAAAAAATCTCAGGAAATTGCCTACAATTACTACTATCCTCTCTGTGCTATTAAAGATAACCTTTCCCTAGATCAGCTGTGGCAAATGCACTAGTGCACGCCTAGAATTCTTTTGTGTTTTGAATTCTTTGATTCCCTCAGGACTTTAAAATTCTAATCCCTGCACTAAATCATCATAAACCACAACCAATCTTTATTGCCTTGAAAAAAGAAAAGAGGGGCATGGAAGATGGTTTAGTATGCAAAAGGCTCCCTGAACGAATGTGAAAACCTGAGTTTGAAAGTCACATTAAGCCAGGTGCAGTACTGTGCATCTCTAATGCCAGTAGTCTGACGCTAAAATGACAGGCAGTGACAGGAGAACCCATGATAGCTAGTAGGCCAACTAACCATGCAACAAGGATCAACAAAGAGGCCCTGTCTCAAACAAGATAAAGAGGTGAGGGTCCAGAAGCACCCAAATATGTTCTCTGACCTTCATTCATCCACGAATATGGTCTGGAATGCATGTATACACACAGATACGCAACACACTTGGACACATGCATGTGTCCACAAACATACACACATGTATTTGCCCACACAGACACATTTGCCCACAAACATACACACGAATGCATCATCCATAATCACAAAAGATAGAGATCCGCCATGGAGGGCCTTACAATCCCTGGAGAATGGAGTGGGGATAGGGTGTGGGGCTGGGGGTGGGAGTGGAGGGAGAGAGAGCTGGACTGACATGGGAAGCAAGCTTGTTCCTAATTTAAATATATAATAAGAAGTGTAAAAAATGGAGATTATATCAAAATGAAAGCAATCTTCAAAAGATTAATTTACCTTAGAACTCTTTTCACCAAGTATTTTCTTTTGAGTTTTTATGGTCGGTTACAGAAAACTTTCATGCATGGTGATAAACTTGATTTCTTGTAAAGCACAATTACAGACCTGAAGTGACCCTGCTAACATCTGACATGAGCCTGTCCATCTGGGTTTTTGAGATAGATTACATAACTCCTTAAGCAACTTCTGCTTTCCTTTTCTCCCATTCCATTGGGGTTATAAAGTTATGATTAGAAACATCTATATCTCCAAAGCAAGAATATAAATTAGAAGAAAACTTATTTGCTTTAGTCAAATTCCCTAAGTTAAGGTACATATATGTCAGAAATGCTTCGAATCTGTATCTCAATTGAACACATGTTGACAATTTAATCAGTGGATACAGACACAAGAAAAATAGAAATGCAAGCTAACTTTTCACTTGGTTTTACAGGAAGAATCTGGAATCGTCTCACAATTCTGTTATAGAGTTGACATTCTTTTTGTTCACAATAAGCCACATACTATGGACAGTTAGAGTTGGGTGGAATTTAAGATAATCCAAGCAAAATAACTCATTTTACAAATAATAATGTATCATTTATGCTAATAGTACCACTGCATTCAATTTGTCTATGCTAAAGACTTGTACATTGCATCATTCTTCATTTCCAATAGCCTAAAGACTAACAGTTCAGTATCACACACACACACACACACACACACACACACACACACACACTCTAGTCTACTTCAAGCCACCATCAGCTATTACCCAGATTTCCTATCTTGTCTCCCTTATTCTAACTTTGTTCCCTTACAGTAAGTTTTGAAAAGGGCAGATAAAGTTATACTGTGAAAACCAAAGGCATGTCACTCCCAAGTTCAAACCTGCAATGACTTTATTTTCCTTTCCAATGCAACTCAGAGTAATTACAATGACTACAAGACCCCTGACCTCATTTCTTACTGCTTCCCCTTCGTTCAACTAGCTTCATTCTCACTAACCACCTCACTGCTCCCAAGAAAAGCAATCACCCACAAGAATTCACTCTTCCCTCTGCCTGCAACATTCATTTCTGTTATCTGTACAACTTGCTCCTTAATCCCGCCAGCAATGATTTTTTTCCTCAGTGAGGCCTACTCTGGTAATACTGTTCTACTAATAATGTGGGCCTAATCCCCGTATTACCTTGATTTTTATTCTTCAAATAAATATACTAGCCTATAATCTATTGTTATTCATTGTCTGTTGACTTTTGCTTTGTTTTCTCTAGTGCTGGGGATGTAACCCATGGCTTTGTTCATGTTAAGCAATCGTTCTTCCATTGAGCTATAGCTCTAACCATTTAGTATCTCTATAATATGAGCTGTATAAGGAAAGAATTTCTTTTCTGTCTGGTTTTAGGCTGTGTTTCTGATGCCTAAAACAATGCTTGGTGCACTAAGGCTCAATAATGATTATGAATGACTCTCATACCCCCTTTCATAAATATTTAATGCCTCTTAGTACTATCAGGACGAATAACCCAAAGGCATTCAAGCTTTGAGTGACTTGGCCCCAGGCCACCTTCTACTTCTTCCCTTCATGGCCCCTGTACTAGACAAAACAAAAACTGAAATCTTTTACCTAGTGCACATCCTATGATGTCCTCTTTGTAGTTTTGCACATCCCTTGACCTGGAATGTTCATTTTCAAAGGTGTATTTCTATTTCTAGGTGCTACTTAAATTTAAATTTTGACTACTGGCAAACCAAATGTGGAACCCTGGTAAAATAAAACTGGATAATGACTGTGTTCTATTTTATTCATGAAGAATTTTTCCCTAATACTTATTTTCAAGAATGATAGAGCATCCGAAGGCAGAAAGCAAATTAGATACACTTAAAAAATTATCTCAATTATTTATGACAGAGAGCCATAAAGAAAAAACACTCTGCCCTTGATTTCTTGATTTATAAATTTTATTCCACTACAGAATATACATTCTATATAAATGAGAAAATTTACTGTAATACGGCTATTTTCTAATACATTTCTCTCACTAAAATATTTGCTTTCAAGAGTTAGAGAAATGACTCAGCAGTTAAGAGCACATACTACTCTTGTAAGAAGATCCAAGTTTGATACCCAGCACCCACACCAGGAGGGTCTCCTGTAACTCCAGCTCCAGAAGAGCCAACACCTTTTCTTATCCGGCAGACACTTGCACACATACATCAGACACTCACACAAACACATACATACATACCCACATAAAGAAAAATAAAAAATATTTCTAATTTTGACTTCACAAATGTCATATTTCATAAATATAATAGCATTTAAAACATTTCTTTGAAATTGTTTGAGGGGAAAGAAATGACCATGGTGTGCTGAAGAAGAAAATCTTTAGCAGACACAAAGTACCTGAGTTTCAGAAACTGTGATTTTTCATCACTGTATACTAAAATTGTACTGAAATCATGGTATAAGTCTCAATTAAATGATCAATAGAAAATAAATGCTTTCTATCACATGACTGAAATCAGTCAAAACACCACCAAACAGGAAGTTCAAAGAACTGTAAAGAACTGCTTTGGGGCAAGAATAAATCAATCACATTCATATGAACTGATCTTTAAAATATAGACTGAAATATCTTCCCCACAAGCCACAGAAGTAAACATAGATGTTACTCCTTTGTACAAACTATAAAGCTATACATATACATTGAATTAAAAAATAGAAAAAGAAAAAAGTGACCCCAAAAATTGGAATCACAGCCTTGAATTAAAAGCACTGATTAAAGTCATTTTGGTAAGGTTTTATTATGCAAATTTAATGATAATGGTCATTAGAGTGGGGGCATATTACATCAATAAGTATAGTGACCATATATTTTCATTAAATTCAACTCTGAAGAAGCAATCAAACTATGCATTAGTCAAGCAATCAGAGTTTATTAAACTTCATTTATGATGAGCTATATTAAATATAACAGTTCAGTATTATATAGTATTATCTAATTATAAAAGTATTGCTCTAGAGTCTCAACCCCTTAAGAATACGAGAAATGGCAGACTTACTTATAAACTCTAATGTTGAAGTTCTGATTGCAATACAAAAGATCATTATTGCAAGAAAATTAAGTTTTAATTTTCTCAATCAGGCAGAAATTAACAAAAGCAGCAAAATGTAAAGAGTCAACTCTCTCATGGATAATGTTACATAGAAATACAATGCT